GAGTTGTTAAATTCGTTAAAATTATGATGAGCATACTTTCCTGGTGTATGTACTCAGGGCGATGAAATTTTTCTTCCGACACGTCTTGTAACGAGACACGTTGTTCGCGATGGTTATTTACATGCGAAGGAAAGCATCGGTGCGACGTGAAATTGAAATGTTTCGTTCCCATAAATGATTACTATAGCATAATCTGCGAAAACGTTTGCGCGATTCTTTTGCACATGCTCAAGTGAGATACCACGATCCGCTGAACGCCGGGGAAAATCGAGAAAATTTAGCTTTGAGGCGATGGCCGTATGAATGCTCGCAAAAAGGAAAACATTGAAAAAAATAGCTGCATGCATTTGAAAAAAGGAAAACACCAAATGGTCACATACGACAAGACCAGTGAAAAGTTAGATGTCTGTTAATGCATAACAGAATGTCCCAGGTGAATTTCTATACCTTTTTGCCACGATCTGCGTCATATTCTCCTTCCAGGCTACTGGTACTGCTAGCTGATGTTGTTCCAGCACTTGTTTTGCGTGTGAGCTACCGGTGTTAGTTAGGTGTCAGTTAGTCTTTTTTTTTACGGTAAAAGCAGTAGGACGTGATAATTCAATTGACGTTTGGTGATATTAAATCGATTTACACAGAAATACCGTGTGTTCGCGTCCCGACAATATCGATAAGACGACGCGTCTTTTGTAAAATCTACACAGTTCTACGTTTCTTGCACGAGGATATCTCGAATCTTTAGGAACATTATACAAGTTAATTAACCAAGTGGTTTGTAGAATGTACATATATATATATATGCCGGAATATCGACTGTTATCCTTTTATACCAATCACTTTAATCTACTCTGGAATAACGATACACCTAATTGTTAATTAACTTGCACTTTCGTTATTCGTCTGAATAATTTTCGAATGGACGTATTAAAATATCTAATGCATACCACCATGTCTAACACATGGTATATAGTAAAGTCATTAAACATGCCATGGCTACAAGGCTCATCCATTTAATCTGAAGAGGTGCACTGTGATCTCGATCTGTAATTTTCGTTAAATATCTCTATCCTCTTTTCATTCAAGTGATCCAATTGGTGTTCCACAATTTCTCAGTTCAATTATGTAATCGGCATTTCGATAATACTTTGAAAAATGTTAACTCGTGATCGCGATACGATTAAATAATTAGTTGGATTTTTTTTAGTACGATAAAACTGTTTGAAAATCAATTCTGTTTGAAAGCGTAGACCGCAGGTAAAATCAGAAATTCCTTAAGACGAATCTCCATGAAATAATCTTTCAAGTCGCATGAACAATTCATGCACGTTCTACGTACTATCGCTATATCGAGTGAGTAATAAAGATAAATTAGAAGTGTACACTTGGTGTTCGTTTACCTTTTCCTTTTGCTTTTTAATTGGACTAGGTCGTTGATCTATATGCTCCATATCAGGTATCATTTCAGGTTCATAGCTCATTGTATGTCTCTTGCTCGGTTCAGAGCCATAACTTTCAACTTGTTTAGGTCCACCTAATGCTGTGTAAGGCAGTCACACTATTTCAAAATCTTAATGCACAGTTCTAGCAGCATTGTGAAAGCACTGAAACGGCTCACGCGGTCCGTAATGAGAAGGTACATGCTAAAATAAAATTTATTAAGGAGATAATTAATTTTACCATCCATACTGCGAGACGTTGGACGGCGACCGCTCAAAGATCTTTCGAATTGCGGAGGTTGCCTGTCGATAGGGGTCTTTTTCGTTTCGTAATGAGTTCTTCCAGAATACCGGAAACGAGAGCCCAGATGTGGTATTAAGCCTACTTTCTTTACAGGCTCCGGACTCATGAGCCTGAAAACAGCGTCGGTAACGTCACCGTTAATAAAACCACTTGATACTTCTCTCATCATCCTCCAACCATCATTTACCTGAAGAAAGTATGATGCTCCACGCAAACTTTCCATAGTTTCTTCGCCGCCCTGTGATTCGCCAGCTTGAAACCGATCGTAGATTCGAACTGTTCGAATTCGCCTGGCCTAATTTTTATATAAAAATTATGCCTCTTGTAAGAGATCTTCAAGATCTTCGGCCAGGCGAACCTATTGATTCGTAATCGAGCTCTGTAAACGAGAAGCCCCGACGAACATACACCTAACATGATATCAACACCTTCGGAATCTTTAGCGGGATGCAGATCGACGCCGTACATTGCCAGTTTCTTCGCGTTCTCGAGATAGTGGAGCTCTGCCTCCGCAGGTGTTTGACCCCTGAAAATTCGGGAACGTTCGGTCACCAGTTTTCATCGATCGTAGAGACTACTTTAGACCTTCCAAAAATAGAATAACCGTTTAACAGATGAAACTGACTTATGCGTTTTATGCAGGTCCATTACTTTTTCCACTAGCTCCGGCGTTTGATTAGGCGCGAATTTGAAATCCTTCAAGTACGTGCGCCCATGCTCGTCCGGGTCGTAATCTCCCACCTCCGATTGTACCAAGTAAGAACCGAGGAGAGCGTGAGTTACGAACGAACATGGCAATCGTCCCGTGATAATATCGTTCCGAATTTGAAGGCATAATTGATAACGGGTGATGTCCTCTTGCAACTGAGCTGGGTCCGGTGGGTAAAACTTCACTTCGAAGTTGAACTTCCATGGCTCGTCTAAAAATAAACGAGACATCGATGACAAACAGACAAAAATACAGGTGACAACAAGCGCGAACAGCCAGTACTTTTTATAAATTTCGCAATCCTCTTGTCCAGGTCCAGCCAATTCCGTGCATCGTGTCGGTCTTCGTAGATGAGACCGAAGTAATCCTTCTCCAAAAGATTCATGCTCTGGCAGATCATGTCGAGTAGATCCTGACCTTTGGCCTTTCTCTGAAAAAGTAAACGTTCAATTAGCGTGCAGCTTCAGGGACAGACAAACAGAGACAACTGGTTCCTCCAGTTTTATTTCCCGGCGTGCATTCGCAGCTTACGTCGATGTGGAAGTCTTTGACAGTCCCATCGAGGAGAGTGATCTTCGCGATAGCCATCTTGCCTTTGCTAACTGGACTCTTCGTGGGCGAATTCGTTCCGGTCCCATTTTCTGCCGTTACTTCCGGTGGACCACCAGCGGACTTCTGTTCCTCCGGCATATCTCAGCCCTGTGCTGAAAGAAGACAACAATTATCTCCAATGATCTCCTGACTTTCAAACATTATTCAACTTCCGATTCACTATAGCAACTTTCAACTGCCAATCGATTAGATTAAGACGAGAAAATCGCTACATCTCGCAAGTTCGACGAAGTATCCATAAAAATCGGCAGGCAATTCAACCGATCCCTAACATTTGCGAGGTCCAAGAGTCAAGAACAGCGGACAGGGAAGGACGGGAGGCGTTAATGAATCTGTTTTCTGAATGATTCGCGCGTCGCCGCGCCGAAGAATGATCGCGTGCTAGTTCCCAATGTGTTCGAGTATAGATCCTGTCTAGACCAGAGGGTGCCATGCAGAGGAATAATCAATATTTGCCTGGCTCTCGGTGTTGTTCGCACCGTCAGTAGACAGTGCGGCTCCGATGTCATTAACAACGGGGAAGAATCTATCCAGGAAACGGCTCGTGGCCGGCAATCAGCGTGACACAATTCCTATTAAATTATTTCAGCGTAGTCCGGCAAACTACTCTCCTAGATTGCCCGAGCGCGTTCATTTCATTTTCATGACGCTAACGCTACGATTTACACCCTTTCTCCGGCGAGTATACGTTCCATTTAACCCGGAGTCCGGAGTAGAAGGAACAGAGGCTGGAAGAAAGTTAAAAATTCCACCCCGGAAACGCGAGCAACACGGTAGCCCGCGAAGTGGTAATTGATAGTCTAGCTAGCCCGCTAAGTTGCATAATAGCTGAAGACTTTATCGATGGGCCTAGAACGTTACACGATCGCGAGTACAAAGCGTTTAATCTTATTTCCAACGCTACGAGGAGAACAGTCTCGCTAGCCTTTCCATTATCAATCCCTACAGGAGCTTTCGCTAACATCGGAACTACCGAACAGTCAAATTCACTTCTTCAGATTGTTCCATGTGAATTCTAACCCTTTGCACTCCAGAAGCTTTCTACCGGAAATATTCAATATTTTCTAAAGAGACACAGACGACATTTTCTTAGATCGAATTAAGACATCTCACATGCATCGAGGAAGAGAACCACTTTCTTTCAATATTTCGTACGTTGATGCATTGTACGAAGTTTAATATTAAACATCAAACTTTACAGTTTTGAGACTTCGATCGATCTACAATCCAGATCGCCTAATACTAAATCAATTTCCTTAGTAACTTCGCGGAGAAGCTGCCTTTTTAATAACTGAGAACAATTCAGGAACGGATTAATTCGAGCCATTTGGTAGTTCTAGCGTTAATCCTACCTTTGCGAGGAACGCACGCCGCCTCGAACGAGCAAAGCGAGCCCGCGCTGGTTCTACAGAATCGTCTCGGCAATTTTTCTCTAAAGGACTACCGGACGATCTTCCGAGAACGAAGTGTAATGGACCGTAATTCGCCGGTCGCGACGTTACCGGTTCTAATCGCGCGATTTATCGCCGGGGCCACGAAACAAGGTTTCAAAGGAGCGACACAGAAAACGGTGGACAGCGATTTCGCAAGTGTGTTCGGTGGACAGGTCGCAGTTACGTAGGACGTCGAGGCTCGCGCGCGTGCATTTGCCGCAGGTCGTTGGCCCTTGTTCAAGACAGAATGAACGTGTACACACGCCGATACACCGGCTGCAACGTCTCGATACGGAGCCAATGAAGCGCCGATATTTATTACGGCGTCGCGCTCGAAATATCGTGACCAGGTATTGTTAGACGGTAGCGCCGGTATAAAAATACGATCAGCATCGATCAAACGAACGGTCCCGGTGTGTCGCTCGATTTCTTTCCAATTTTAACCCTCCGTGGCCCGAAGTGAACTCGGTTGTTCACTCTGAAGCCTGCATCTCTGCAGCTTTATTTCATCCGATCACAGGTTGACACAACGATTGAATTGTTTGTTGGAGAACACTTGGTACGATACAAGTCAACGTTTTAGCTGTACGCTACTACGTTTGTATCTTTTCGAATGATACGCCACTATAGTACAATTCTGTTCCTGTCATCGATAGTTGTGCGTATACAGTGATCTAACTGCACAGTGGAGAATTCGATCAGTCTCGAATCGCAGTGATACATTTATGATGTACAGACAAATCTAGCCGTGCAGAGGCATAGCTCCGCGAATAGTCCCGCCGTAGCAGAAGGTTAAAACAACTAGACGTTAGAAAACCGAGCGTCGAGTCTGACATAGGACTGCAAAGTTCACGCTGGGTTCACGGACATTTGCTATTACTCTATGTTCCTAGAGGAATCGATGCTCGTTTAGACCTTAGAAATTAGACGTTAAATGGATCATTGGGAGCTACGAATCATTGATAATTCATTCTAATGCCGTTCGCCTTTGTCATGAAAGAATAAGTGATCGCTCGACGAAACACCGACAATTCTGGCAGCGGTAAACTCGTTAAGCGCCGTCGAATCGAACGAACGGAAGAAAAAAACGCCGTGAAATCATAGCCGACCCTGACCGACACGCTCCGACGACAGGACTGTTCGAATCGAGCCCACGTCCAACGCGGAACAACACCGGCCTTACGCAACCACGCCCGGACCGAATAGTAATTCAACCTCAATTGCGCGGAATCAAAGCCTCACGGGATGCTGTTCAAACGCCGTTAACTCATTCGCTGCTAATCACGGATACACTCGTGGCCGGGGAAGTGTTTAGGATCGCTAACACGAGTGTCTTCGTATCTCTGCGTTTCGAGTGGGCCTTATTATCAAGCGAGATCGATTGGATAAACCGATATAAACGAGTCGGTATTGCATAGAAATTCTGGAAATTTTGGAAATTCTCAGCGTTCTGACTCCTTCCTGATTTCTTTTTCCTATTGAAAGACAGATCTCTGAGGAACTATTAAAGAAACTGAGATTTAGCAGTACGTAGACTGAATTGTAAGTCAAAGTCTCAAGAGATGCACTCTTGGAGTTTCTATAGAGAAATTTCAAAAAGTCAATTCTGCTCGGTAGTTTTAGTGTTAAAACATTCGCGGCTTTTCAGTGATCGGTTGATCGTTCCGTTAGCGATGATCAATGGATTTCGTTCGTATTTTCGAGATAAAGGGAGCTTCCAACCAGTTTGATAGTTCCAGCGTTAAACGTATCTACCCGCGACAAAGAAGAAGCGCGGGCGTATTCCTCCGCCGAAGAGGAAAAAAGGACGCGCCGATAACGAGTCTTTCCGCGCGATACACGAACGCGACGGTTCTCCGCGTGACTCACGGGCGGACGCACAAAGAGCGAATCGCGGCGTCGCGTCGCGTTGCCAGAACGGAAATCATTGTTTAGCGTTCAATTCCGGGCGAATATCTCGTTACGCCCGGGCACCACGCAACCGATCCCGACAAAACGGCAATTACATAAATCTGCGCGAGCCGATCGGGTTGCGTAACCCCGCGATCGAGTAAAAATGAAACCTGGCATTCCGCGCACGATACTATCCGACTGCGAACGTTTTCGCTCGCGTTCCAGCCTTTCGATCTGAACCCATCGATCGTCTTGTCACACGAATACAACGGAGCATAAGATATTATCGAATTCGCCATCGTGTTATCACGTTTCTCGCGTTTATCTTACAAAGATACGCTAATTCTATGTTGCAAAACGATCGGTATCGGTGACGCTGATATTACGAACGATATAGTAACGATTGAATCAAGCTTCAATTAACACTAGGTTCACGAACGTTTATTATATAATCTACCGCGTTGTTCCTAGAAAAATTGAAGCTCGTTTAGATCTGAGAAACTTTCGAATACACCATTAGAATCGTATAGTGCCATTAATAAAAATCGACGCAAACATTTGCCATTTGTTAATTACACAGTCGATTACAAGCGGAGCAAGACAGTGAGTCAACAAGTGAGCAAACGAGTTTCGGATAAACAGAAATCCGCGGTCCTTTTCGGACTTTCTTCCTGGTTGATCGAGGATTCAACACATTAACCGCGAACAGCGACTACAAGACACTATTAATTTTAAACTGCCTAACGATACACATTGATCCATCTACTTTTCTAGCATCGTACGCTTTCTGCTCGGAATACTTCCACGGAGATCGAAAATAATTCCCAATAAATTGTCTCTCCCATGGACCATTTACTTCGTTTTCCGCGGTGGAAGATTTAAACGAGGATCGTTCCGCGGAAATCCCGCTGGAATTCACGGAATCCGCGGCCGGCGGAGCTCGCGTGCAATAAGTCCGAGCAGCGGGGGATGCCGTCATCGCCGGTATCAGACGTCCTTTGCCAGGCCCGATGAAGTAATACGCCGATTAGCAGGCACGATGACGCGGCGACCGATATTATACGTCTACGACACGCTAATGCAACGAATCGAATTAGCCCCGAACAAACTGGATTGCCGTTTCGAGCATCGCCGGCATTCCAGAACTCCCGCTGCCCGATTACAAGTTCGCAGACGCCGGACGCCGGATGCGAATCCGTCTAACTCGGACGGAACTTGAACGTTCTTGGCCCGCGGGAACTATTCCATTGTCTTCCGCGGTTTGTCCGATGTATTAAACTGTGTAACATGGACGGTCGGATTCCCCGTCAATCGCGGATCGGTATAGGTGACCGACAGACGGATTTCTATGGGTTTATTGAAAATTTGAAGCTCGAAATCTGTAATCCGATACTTGAAAGCGCAGCGTTTCAAAGAAAAGCTTGAAACTGTGAAGTTCGTTTGAAAATCGAACATTCGAAATCAGAGATGTCTCTTCGAGTAACCTAATTATGCACTGTGAGATATATTAGATGTTCTTGTTTCAATACCGAGGAAGCTACATTCGCGGACGATAAATTTCCCCTGCTTATCTGGACAATTTATCTTGAGTTTGATAGCCTTATCATTTACGATTCGCCCTTTCGCGTGGTACATTTCCAGGCTTCCATCTTGAGGAATAAATAACAGGTTTCACTGAAACACTTGATCGCTACTACACCATCGGCTTCTCCCCGGACTCCGGAATATCTAGCTGAATTCACGATACGATACGTCGGCTCGGATGA